AACACTCACTTGGGGGATGGTGGGTCTTATCTTGCTCTTTGGAACAGTGCACAAGACTCGTCGAGGCCCACTCCTCCAACTCTCACGCTGGGGGATGGCTTTCCTGCTCTCTGTCTAGGGGTGGTGGGTTTCCTCCATTTTTGTCAAAGTCAAGCCGATTCAGCTCACCCTGTAAGAAGGAGAGAGAAGAAAGAGAAAGAGAGAAAAGGCAAAGAGTCACTGGTGGTTCCAACACTCACTTGGGGGATGGTGGGTCTGTCCTCTTTTTGTAGAGTCAAGCCGATTCCCCTCACTCTCAAGAGAAAGCGAGCCACTGGTCATCCAACACTCACTTGGGGGATGGTGGGTCTTATCTTGCTCTTTGGAACACTGCACAAGTCTCGTCAAGGCCCACTCCTCCAACTCTCACGCTGGGGGATGGCTTTCCTGCTCTCTGTCTATGGGTGGTGGGTTTCCTCCATTTTTGTCAAAGTCAAGCCGATTCAGCTCACCCTGTAAGAAGGGGGGGGGGGGGGGGGGGGGGGGGGTTTAAAAAAAAAAAAAAGGCAAAAAGTCCCTGGGGGTTCCAACACTCACTTGGGGGATGGGGGGTCTGTCCCCTTTTTGTAGAGTCAAGCCGATTCCCCTCACTCTCAAAAAAAAGCGAGCCACTGGTCATCCACACTCACTTGGGGGATGGGGGGTCTTATCTTGCTCTTTGGAACAGTGCACAAAACTCGTCGAGGCCCACTCCTCCAACTCTCACGCTGGGGGAAAGGTTTCCTGCTCTCTGTCTATGGGGGGGGGGTTTCCCCCATTTTTGTCAAAGTCAAGCCGATTCAGCTCACCCTGTAAAAAAGGGGGGGTTAAAAAGAAAAAATAGGCAAAAAGTCACTGGGGGTTCCAACACTCACTTGGGGGATGGGGGGTCTTTTCTTGCTCTTTGGAACACTGCACAAGCCTCGTCGAGGCCCACTGCTCCAACTCTCACTCGGGGCAAGACTTTCCTGTTCTCTGTTTAGGAGTGGGGGGTTTCCTTCGTTTTTGTCAAAGTCAAGCCGATTCAGCTCATCCTGCAAAAAAAAAAAAGGAGGGGAAGGGAGGGAGAAACCTAGAGAGAGAGAGAGACCGAGAGAGAGAGAGAGAGAGAGGCACAGAGGCCATGGTTGTCCAACACTCAATTGGGGGATGGTGGGTCTTTTGCTGCTGGGTGGAACACTGCACCATGCCACAGTCGTCCTACTCTCGCTGGGGGATGGCTTTCCTGCTCTCTGGCTAGAGGTGGTGTTTTTCCTTCGTTTTTGTCAGTCAAGCCGATTCAGCTCATCCTGCAAGAAAGAGAGAGGAGGGGAAGGGAGGGAGAGACAGAGAGAGAGAGAGAGAGCGAGAGAGAGAGAGAGAGAGAGGCACAGAGACTATGGTCGTCCAACACTCAATTGGGGGATGGTGGGTCTTTTCTTAAAGGATTAGGGTTAGGCTTGGTAGGGTTTGAGGTTATGATTTGGGGTTTAGGGTTAGATTTGGGTTTAGGGTAGGGTTTGGGTTGGGGTTAGGTGTGGGGTTAAAGTTGGGGGTAGGGTTTGGGGTTAGGTTGAGGGGTAAAGTTGGATTTAGGGTTGGGGGTAGGGTTTGGGTTGGGGTTAGGGGTGGAGTTAAAAT